TGGTGATTCATTAAGTGGTCCCAATTTTTTAGATGGTGCACTTATATTAGTTAAAATTTTGAGTAAATAAACCCTTCAATTTTTACATAAAATTACATACTGCTCTTCTAATGTACTAATAAAAGTGATTTGAGATATACACACAGGCTCATAAACTTCTTTTTGCTCTCGAAGAATAGAAATCTTATTCATTCATGTTATGGATACTTAATTTCTAAATGTCTTATTAATATTGATGGTCTCCTATCAGTAGTAACTCTCATTGAAGCAGTGTACACTTACAGCAGTATTCATCTTTAACAGTGGTTGGGAGGTAAGCTCTCATTTGAAATAGTTTTGAAAACTTCTTTTTTTTTTTTTGCTGACTTCCGACTGATTTAAGTGGTCATCATGTAAATGCTTTACTGTACACACACACACACACACACACACACACACACACATGCATACATACACACGTTTTTTAAATCAAGTAATGTAAACAGCTTGTCTTAGAAGATTCCCTTCTCTTCTTCTTGTTTGATAGGATTTGTATGATTAGAAGTATCTTAAATTCATAGTTCCCTTATAAGGACTTTTAAAGTAACTCCATTCTGTGAGTTTAATTAAAAATAGGTAATCTATTAATCCATTTGATGGGCACATAGGCCAATTTTCTTGAAAGTGAACAAATAAGTGAACCATTGTCAATCTCTCCACAAATATGAATTCCTCTCTCCTTTCAGAATTTCGTTTCTGGTGAACATGACATGACTTTATATATCAACCAAGTCAGGGTACTAGGGGTAGCCCTTATATTAAATATTAATGAAGGTATATTTTATTATTACTCAGAATTAACTGTATAAAATCTTAGTACTTTGTTCTAATTATGCAGTGCCTTGTCTTACAAATGCATAATTCCTCTGAGAACCTGTACTTTAGATGAGGCAGAGATGAGGCAGAGATTAGCAGGAATGACTTAAAGTATAGTGCTGCCAACGAACTAAACAGTAACCATAACAGGATGAATGGCTTTTAAAGAAAAATAAAACTTGCTTACAGCACATTAAGTCTAAGGTACTATGAGATTTTAAATGATGCTGCACCTGAGGTATGTGTAAAAGGTCTGGGGTATATGAAAGGAATCCAGGTTACAAGCATGGATCAGGTGTGACATAATACTTGAAGCTAACTTGCAGTTTCTGTTTCTTAAGAATTGGGACAGCAAAGAACAGAACCCTGAAAAGTGCTTTCATATAAGGGATTTTAAAAAAAATGAGTAGACAAGTAGTCTTCTTGGAGATGCATGGGAAAGTAGAGATAGCCAGAAGGATATAGTATCATGAAAGTTGAAAGAGAAGATTATAAGATAAAAAAATCAACAATGCTACACAGTCAAGAAGGATAAAGCAAAGATAAAGACATGAGATTGTCATTTAGGATGTGGCTGGCATGTTAAAGACTGGTAAATAGGGACAGAAGTCATTTTTCAAGCATTTAAAATAAAAACTAGTTTTAAAAAACGGGAATAGTGACCATCAATTTTCTTCTAGAGGTTTGACGGTTAAGGGAGGAGAGGGACTGTGTCACAGTAAACAAGTTGCTTTAAGATAAGCAGCATTTGACAAACAGTGAAGAGGGATAAAATGGAGATAGAAATAAAGATGGGAAACTTATGATACCAGGTTCATATATAAATGACATTGATATACTCGTGTACTCATGGACACAGATGAAGTGACAGCTTTGGGAAAGGGGAGGAGGAATTTTTCTTCTAATCAGAAGGGAAGGGACAAATCATGGCAGTTAGTTTAAAAGTATTACACACATTGAAAGAATTTCTATCAGGTTCTCTTCCTCCCTCTCCTTACCACCCCCCCCCAACACACACATCACACAGATCATTAGGAGATGAAGTAAACTGCTAAGCATTCTACATAGCTTAAGTTTAGGAAAATAAGCATGGAGCCACTAACTAGTTTTTAACAGGAAATGATACATTTAGATTTTTTTGTGTGTGTGGTACTGCGGCTTGAACTAAGGGCCTACACCTTGAGCCACTCCACCAACCCTTTTGTGTGATGGGTTTTTTCCAGACAGGGTCTCTTGAATGATCTTCCTTGAGACGTGAAGAGCTGAGTTTATAAACCATCTTTCATGGTTTGTCAGGGTTGCTAAAACTTATTTGGACATTTATCTCTATGACAGAATTTACCTGCATGTGGCTGGGTTGTGACAATCTCATACATGGAATACAATTTGACTTCCTGTAGGAGTGATACAGTTCTTCTTATGCTATAAGAATAAGACATGCCTATAGCAAGGACCTTTTTTTTCAGGATGGCTGCCTTGAATTATTTTTGGTGGTTCTGGGGCTTGAACTCAGGGTCTCATGCTTGCTAGGAAGGTGGTCTACCACTTGAGCCACCCTGCCAGTCCTTTTTTGTGTTGGGTATTTTCCAGATAGGGTCTTGTGGAACTATTTTCCCAGGTTGGCTTCAAACAGTGACCCTCTTGATCTCTACCTCCTGAGTAGCTAGGATTACAGGTATGAGCCACCGGTGCCCAGCAATACATTAGATTTGAGTTTAAGAAAGTTTCATCTTATCAAAGGATTGCAGAATGAGAGTGGGATTGGCTTTTTCAGCCATACTTGAAGAAGATAAGTTAAGGAATAAGAAATGCAGCAAGAAACTGTGTGGTAACCAAGGCAACAGCAAAGAAATAGAGGGGCAACATATTGAGAATTATTGAGAGGAGAAACAAATATCATACAAACACTCGCTTGGATTATTGTGCTGATGGTGAGAAAAGGAGGCATTTAGTCTAAAAGTAGATGGGAAGACAGATGGAAACAAGTTTGTACTGGAAATGGTAACTATTATGTACCTGTGGGATATCCTAGCAGAGATCCAGTAGAGAGACAGTTCTACAGCATGGGGAAAAAGATATGGACTGATATAAATAGGTGTGTGTGTGTGTGTACAGAAGGTAACTGATCCCAGGGGGCTGATGGGGATACTACATTATGGCTATGATCTTAGGATCACTTAGGATCAGCTAAAAATGGGCTGAGAACAGATACCTGGCTAATATCATTCAAAGGAGGGCCAAAGAAAGGTTCTAGAGAGGAAAGAAGAATACTTGATGGATGCCAAATAATGTGGAACTGTCATCAGTGTGAGATGGTAGAAAATGAGTAATATAAAGTATCCCTTGTATTTAACACAGGTCTTCTGCATAGAATTGGTGAAAAACAGTGAAGTGTGCAGAGGAGAGAATGAAACTGAGCAAGTCAAACTACTCTTTCTAGAGGATTGTCAGAGGAAAATGAGAGGAGAGGTAAGCACATAGGAGTAGAATCCCTGAGTGTTTCTCATTAAAATGAGAAATTTATTGGTGGAAGACAAACAACAGGAGAGAGAGTGAGTTTAAAGAGGACACACGGAGAGGTGATTTATGTGGGGATAGCTGATGAAGGCATCAACACCCACAAGAAAGGGACAGGAAAAGACTGAGAGCAGAGGGAGCAGCTTCAAACTAGAGAGAAGGAAAAAAAGAGGTTCACAAGCTATTCACAATATATCAGAAAGCCTTCTGGAAATTGCAATTAAATAAAATGTCAAGTTTCTTTACTTTTGGCAGGCATTAAATCAACCCTGTGGGTTAACACTGGTTATTGAAGGCTGATCAGAAATTCTAATTTGCTGTTTGATGACATCATAGAAATGTCTAGGATGTGACTGCAGACAATATAATGTTAGCAGAGTTATTTATCTGGTTGCTACAATATCTGATTTAATTCTGCCAGCATGTGATCAACCTCAGATCAGAAGAATGACAGCCAAAATTAACGCGACCATTTGCAGGGAACAGTGCCTACTGTTTGTACACTTATTTAACTTTATTGCTTATTACCATTACATCCATGACATGATGTATGTGATTTCATTTAAGTGACAAAAATCTTTCAAGATATGAGGTCCATGGCTGAAATATAATAAAAAGAGTCCTTGGATGAAAAGAATGGAATGACAAGATCTCTAGTCCTTCTATTTGACATTCTGTAATTTTGAGAGGGCCCTATAAGCACAAGTTCAGGAAATGACTAAATGGGAAAGCCGTAAAGAATCCTCTAACCGATGACTCACTCTACACAAGGCAACTAAAACCCCAGGAAATGTAAATAACCACGGTCATCTGCCTCTCCATATGCTCATATGCGTAGGGATAACAAATGATTAACAAAGCAAAAGGAGTGCTCACTTTACTGACAATCGCCAAACATTAACCAATTTAAGGGACGACTGTCATAAGCACACACAAACCTCCCTCCCCCATCCTAGCCAAGCTGTGTGTAAACACAAATGAGAATCTTGTTTTGCGGTGGGTTCTTTTCTCACCGACACCTACACCAAGTTAGCCTCCATCTGTGCTTCCACTCTACACGTTGGTCTATCACACCCACTTGGTACTGGGCAAGCCGGACATGAAAAGAAAAAAAAAGTTTCAGGGGAAACAGGCCAAGTAGTGAAATGTGAAGGCCCAGTCTTACTCAAGGCTTGGGATGTAGGGAGCACCTGTCCTGCACCTGGCGCAGCCAGACTGGCCGGATAGGTGGCCTTGCACTGCACCCCAGGATGCTGGGCGGGTTTGGCAAAGAGAAAGTTCAGAAGAGGGTGTGATAGGGAAGCAGGGAGTGGGGCGTTGTGCTCTTCTCCCGGAAACTCTGTAGTGCCTTGTCCCAACCTGGGCTCAGGTAGCTGCCAGTCCACCAGGACACAGCCCCAGGGCACCCACCAGGCCAGTCTGGCACCCCTGGCTCCTGCCCGCACGGCCCATGTCTGCACCGCTGCCCGCCGTCGCCCGTGACCGGTGACCCTGGAGGCCCGGCCGAGGCCGCTGACCCCGGAGCCTGGACCCCCGTCGCAGGCGCAGCCGCTGTTACTGCAGGAGGCTAGAGAGGAGGAGGAAGGGGAGGAGACAGGCGTCCAGGGCGCCCGGGGGGCTGGCACGGCGGAGCAGCGGCGGCGGGGCTGGGGCGAGGCCGAGCCCGGCCGGGGAGGCCGGAGGCCCGGCCGGGGCCGCGGGGCCCGAGTCCGCAGCGGGCAGCGGGGGCTGGTGGCAGCTCCTCGCTTGGCTGCGGTGGCGGCCGCCCCAGTGCTGCCCCTGTGCGGCGCCCCTTCCCGCGCCGCCGCGCACTGTTGTCATGGAGGAACCAAGATGGCGGCTCTGGCCTACAACCTGGGCAAGCGGGAGATCAACCACTACTTCAGCGTGAGGAGCGCCAAGGTGCTGGCGCTGGTGGCCGTGCTGCTGCTCGCGGCGTGCCACCTCGCCTCCCGCCGCTACCGAGGTGAAGCAGACGGTCCTTGTGCTCGGACGGACAGACGGATGGTCGGGGAGGCGGGACACGGCCGCCGGAGGCCGGCTCCCCCCCTCCCGCCCCCCGCGCGACACACGCCCCACGCCCCACGCGACGCGGCCTGCGTGGGCCCCACCTGTCCCGGGCGTCCCACGGCCAGGGTGCGCATGGGCCTGGGTCCCCCCCGACCCCAGGAGCCGCCCGCGCGGTGGTTCCCACCCGGGGTGCAGCTCCCGCGCGGGCCCGGGTTGGGAGGCCGGCGCGGTGGGGCCGCCCCGCCAAGCGCCTCCTCCATGGCCAGGGTCTGGCTGCCTCTGCCCTGTCACTGCAGGCCTCGCTGTTGGACAGCGCCAAGGCCGCCCCATTTTCCTTGGCCACAAGGGCCACTCCCGGCTGAAGATGCCTGTGTCCGAGTGGAGGAAGTGCCACCCAGCCCTGGTGACGCACGTGTGAAGGGTCTGGGCTGCACGCTTTCGGCCAGTAAAGGCACTGAGGCAGGGTTTGGAAAGAAGTTGTGAGTTGACAGGAGCCGAGGTGGGCAGGGAAAGCAAATGGTGAGCCGTTTCAAAGCAGGCCTGGCTTTGAGACTGGTGTAAGGCAAAAAGGCAACAGGGCCTTATTTCACAATGAATTACCCGTTAGTAATCAAGGGATATTTACTTGCTCTTGTTGACCCCCCGACGCACACACATAGGCTCCCCCTTTCAAAAGTGCCACTCAGAGGTTGACAGGCAGAGGGAAATTAATAATGATAGGATCTTTTATTTTTGGCTCGTAATATTATCGAAGCCATCATCTGGACAGTTCTTGGTAACTGTGAGATTAATGAGTCAAGACCTAATGTGTAATAGACAGGTGCACATTAACGCTGTGTGCATTCAAGTACACTTTGGCAAAGTAAACTTGGGACTAGAATCTAAGCTATCTTCTAATTCCAGGACATCTTTCAAAGTATAGGGCCTTTGGATCAGTTTTGCCGCTTTGTTTCCACCAACTCTTGAGCATTAAAAATCCTTTACTTTAGTACCATACTGGCTGAAGCGCTTAATATAAATACACTAAGTTGACCTAAAAAGATAGCTCCTTTATATCCTTCTTGCCTTTCTCCTCCAGGCCCCCATAGTTTCACAGCTATGTGACTTGGCAGGCTTTGGTTCATCTGTAGCTACTCTGAGAACCCAACACTGTGATGCATTGATTTTTGGTAATTTGGGGAAATATTTTAATTACTATAATATTTTATGCTTGTTTGATATGAGATGATGGTAAGCTAATTCAATTATGTGTATGTGATGTTAGTAGAGATAAAATTACAACTGTAATGCTCTTGTCCTAAAGGTAAAAGATCTAGTTTCTTTTCCTTTTTTGATTGTGCTTGTTACCATATGATAATCTTGGAATACTAATTTTATATTTAGATTACATATTGCATCTTAGCAAGATCTGTCATCAGTAAGGGAATAGAATGTCAGATGGGACCTTGTGAGTCAGTATAGCAATCTGGGATTGTTTGTAAAGGCCTCCTCCAGAGCGAGTCATCAGTTCCAAAGGTACTTCAGTGTCTTGAGTGTGAAGCGTACACCTGGTGTGTGTACTTGCCCAGAGCGAATGTCAAGAACTTGAGCCAGAGTCTGTTTGGAAAATAAACAGCTCAACAGGAACATTTAGCCATCCTCATGCTTTGGCAGTGTCAACCCATGTCAGGTGCAGTGCCCTTCACACAAAGATAAGCATACACTTGAATCACATTGTGAATGTTTAGAATAAGAAGGATCTAATATACTAGATGCTGTATATTACGTGATCTTGGGTGTGTGAGTATGAGTGTGCCTCTTCAAACTGTAGTGAGTTCAGTTTGCATGTTACACCTGTTTAGTATCTATTGCTTTATAAACTACATAAAGTAAAAAGGAATTACACACTACAGAAAGTAACGTTTGGCAAGTACTACATGCTAACATTGAGCACTTATTATATCTCAGGCACTGTTAGGTTAAGGGTTTTAAATGTTTTATCTCATTTTGCTTTACAACCATTCTGTGAAATCTATACAATTACCATATTTCATCTCCCTTCCCCTTTAACATCTCTATAATCAGGATGAGTCTTTAAAACTTTGATTGCATGTCAAAGTTTAATTGGTAACAATTTTTTCTTACTCTGACAATATAATGATGTGTCTAATAATCAGTGGTCTTAGATTCAATGAATTACAGTATTATTTACATTTTAAAGATGAGGCCAGAAGAGGTTAAGTAAATTGCCTAAGAATATGCTAGTTGGTGACCTGAGCTAGATTCAGGACCAGTTAGTCAGCTTGGATATATGGAAGATGAAGTGGGAAAGTACTTCCAGGGGGGCAGGGCTTCAACAATTTAGAAACACTGAATCTTACCAGCTAAGACTTATTTTTCCATCCAAGAAACAATTTTCTAAAAGATGTATATATGTAAAACTTCAAAATCTGGCTGAAGACTACTTTTGGTTACCGGGGGTTTTTGGGGGGGGGTTTCCTTATTCTTCCAAAACTCCCAAGCTTACAGTTCTAAACATTTGCTTTCCCTTTTACACCTCTCACAGATAGGTGCTTTTCTGTCTTCAGTGACCTTCTCTCCTCCTGAAAGAAAGTACATGTTTCCTCCAGACCTTGTTCAAATATCTCCATAGAAGTAGGAATTAGGAAGTCAGTTCTGACAAGCAACTTGTACTTATTTATCATGTTGTATTTGTAAATTGGTATCTGCCTCTTCCACACAGACTGTGAGCTTCCAAGGACATTTTACTCATCTTTAAATCATTTAGCCTAGCACACAGTAGGGACTCCATAAATACCTATTGGACAAATAGATTTTTCAAGGTTTTTATTTCTTCCAATTTTTCTCCCTGAATTTGCTGCTTTTGTGATTAATTGAATTTCATATTCTAATCTCAATTTTAGAAAGTAGAGTTTATTGCATGTTATTATCCACATCAGTTATAATAAAATGACATTTTTAAAAGTAATTACCCTAACTATATTTTTTTCTAAATTTTTTCAATCTTACAGTTCTTGAATCATGAAATGTCCATGTAGCAGTGTGATTACAGATTTAAAACATCATTTTGGTGACAAGAGGGCTAATATCTGTAACCTTAAAGATAATTGCAAATCTGGATCAATTTTAATTTTTTTAACTGATAAAGTTAATTACTTCAAATGTCTTAATTTTTGGAATTGAATTCCTTTCTGTCACTAAGCATATGAAATGCCATTGTAAATATTAGTGCATGTTTTGAGAACAGGAAGCTGAAAGTCTCAGAAGTTAAGTCAGAAAGGAAGCGCCAAGTCTCTTACTTTTCTTTCTTTGACTGCTGGAAAGAGCCTGATTACTATATTTAATTTACCTTTGTGAAGAGTCATTTCTAGCTGTTTAAAGAAAAATTTAAGTTGTTTTTTTTTAAAGCATAAATAAAATATAAAGTGCGAATTTTAGGCAAAGCATTCTATACACCATATTGTAAGCTTTATGATCTGGTATTTTCCTGTAATTAAGGAAGAAACACACAGTGGTGGTAGGATGACTTCCAGACAATGTCCAGAAGGCATTCTGTTCAAAGGAAAATATAAGTTATAATTTATGAAGACACTAGATGTTTTCTTTAGTTGTTTGCATTTTGGTTTTCAGTTTCTTTTCTGTTGGTTTGCTTGGCTTATTTGTCTTGCTCTTAATTATCCTTCTATTACTGAAAAAATCATGCAGTAAAAATTCCAGGCTATAATCTGACAGGCTAGAAGGCTATATACATTAAGATAACAGGAATAAAAAGATATTCATTTCATCTAGGTTATTTTTAAATATTAGGATAGCTGAAGTAGATAATTTTTAGTTGCTTTTTTAAAAATGTGTTCCTAGCTTATTTATCTGACCACTGGCATCTTTCACCTCACATTGGTTGCATTAAAATAACTATCAGATTTTTATACTAGACAATTTAAATAACACCTGTTTTTTTTCTTTTGTCTTTGACATTTCGGAAAGATAAAATGTGCCAGAGGTATTTTCACATAGACAGAATAAGACTGTGTAATTGCCTTAATTTTAACATCTAGATTTACCATTAGGATTCAAGACTGAAAAAATATTTCCTTTCTAAGAAAAGAAACTGTTTTAAACTATAAAGTGAGTTTTTCCTTCTGATGAGACAATTTCAATTTTAAACTAGATTAAAATAGTACTTATTACTACTGTTATTTTGATTTTGCTGACAGATGTAAAAAAGCTATTCTGACCTTTTCATTTGTTTAGTTAGCAGTTCTTTTATTTCTCTAACAAATTCTTTATATTAGATTATCAAAATAATTCGTAAATTTCTGTCTTCCAACTGGATCTTGATATGACATAAAAACTATTAATTTTAATATAAGGTTCTAAAATACTTTGCATTATGAAATATATTAAGAACAAGTCAACATCAACTAGCATTCACTAGTAAATTTAAGATTTATTTCCCTTGAAAGTCCAGTTATCTTCTGAAATACTGTTTGAAGAATCTTCTGGCTAGTGACCACTTCAAATCTTTTGCTATAGAATTTTTAAAATATGGTTCAGCAACTAGTAGAACCGTTTTCCATAAGCAGATCTCCTAAGAAACAAGTGTATGCAGTGTACCTGGTCGAGAAAAAGACTGGTATTGACACTTCCATAGCCCATGTACTGTTAAACGAACGTATAACCCAGGCGCTGAGGAGTGATCAAAGAGTGTTTCTCTTAAATTCTATTAAAATCAAAACGTAAATGATCAACTTGGAGAGGAGGGGGACCAAAGGCAGGAAAACTCCATGGAATTAATACCAGTTTTTGGACTCAAATTTCTTAAAAAACAAGATGTGTTTCTAGCTGTATAAAGTTGGTTTAAAAATTGTCTAAAACGGTAAGAATCAGTTAAATATGGAATTTTTCATCCTGACTGAAATATTTACTAGAACTTTAATCAGTTGACTTAAAGACATTTTATAAAAGAATGCTCCAAGGAGCTGCTTTTAGGCAAAATAATGGTTGCTTATCCTTGGTTATTTATGAGCTAATTTTGTCTTTTGTACAAAACTAGAATTAGTTTTTAATTAATTGAAAATAAATAAGAACTGATTATTACTTTATTTTAGAACCAAGCTTATTAAAAATCTTTGAAATAAAAAAACTGCTCAGGGTACCTGTATTAACTATAAAGTAACCATGGCATCCTGTATTCCTTGTACAGTTTTCATAACAAGACAGCAGTATTAGTTCACTTTTCCTTGTTCTTCAGTATTCATCTTATCAGATCCTTAGCCTGACTTAATAATTTAAAACAAATTTACTTGCTATGACTATAGAAGCTGCTGATTAATGAATTATATCTTTATTATACCCCTACAATTATCTAAACATTCACATTTTCACTTATCCATTTGCCTATCTGAGTTTTTAATGCCTCCAAACGTCTACTTTCTCATCCA